TCGGTGACCTTCACGAGTTTGTTAGGTGATTCAAATGGCATTTGTTATGCTTATTCTTTTTAAGTGAAATTGAGAGTTTGGAAAATTTTGTGGTAGCTTAAGGATGTGAAAACTAGCTTTCACACTTTAGATTATTGATTGATTTGAATGATTTTAAGTATTTCGTACGTTTTTTATACTAAATTAAATTAAGAGAGCTTGGCGATGACATTTTCAGTTCCTGAATTTATTTATTTGCTATTGGCAATTTTTATAAATGTTTTTTCGAATAAAACTATCTTTAAATTGCTTTTTATTCAAATGTTTTTTTAAATATGTGGCAACTCGGTTCAAGAAACATCCTCTAATTTAAATTTTCTTAATCTTTTATTTTATTCCAACATTGCCTAAAATTTTTTTCAAATAAAACTCTTTTAACAGTTTTTTATTAAAATTTTTTTAACATGTGGCATCCCTGTTCAAGAAATATTTTGAAATTTAAGTTTTCTTTACATTTTTCTCTTATTCCAATATTTTTTTATTTTAAACATTTTTGGGCTTAAAACTTCCAATAATGTGGCAATCTTCTTTTTTTAGAACGCAAAATTGGTACCATGGAAGTTCTATTTTATTGTTTTTTTCGAATTCAAAATTTCAGATACCATTTTTCTTTAAACTTTTCTCTTTGGTACTTCTATTGCAACATTTTTTATCTTAAGTATACATTATTTGTTTTAAATGCTTAAAATTAAGTGGCAACCTTCCTCAACTTAATGTCAATTACAAATCTTTTAACTATTATTTAGTTGTATATCCAAAAAATATTTAATTTTTTTAATTAATAATTTTTTCACAAAAATTTTCAAAACTGGTGGTAATCTTTTTTGGAAATATTTTTTATTACAAATCTCTTTTAAATTATTTAGTTGGATACCATAAAATATCTAATGTTTTTAGTTGATGCTTTTTTCACTTAAAATTGCAAAGCAGGTGACAACCGACTTAGAAATATTTTCAACTTTAAGCCTTCTTAAACCCCTTGAGTATACCATACATATTTTTTTTCTATGAGTAAAAAAATGCAAATACATAGGTGGCAACTTTCTTTTTAGAATTTTCAAGTATAAACGTTCTTAAAATTTTGTAGCCCATTTTATATTCTCAGTTTGTGAAGTTTGCTACTTTAAATTTGAAAACGGGTGGCAACCTTCTTCGTAAATATACTTTCTTCTGTCTTTCAATTTAGTATTCATATTGAAATTATTTTTTACATTCTCAAGTTTTCAGACTTAAAAAGGTGGCAATCTTATTCATAAAATGTGCAACGTAAACGTTCTTAGAACTTTTTGGTTTGATGGTCTTTTTTTTAATATTTTTTACTTATCAAGTTGTTTATTTAAAATTTTGAAATAGGTGGCAACTTTTTTCATAAAATTTTCAAGTCTTAAAACTATTTAGCTCGATTTTTATACAAGATTAAATAAGGATTTGTATGTAATATTTTCACATTAACAAGTTTTCGACTTATAAATATTAAAACAGGTGGCAACCTCCTATGGAAATATACTTTATGTTTTCTATCTTTCAGTTTAGTACTCAATTAGTTTTTTTAATTTTAAATTTTCAGACTTAGAAATGCAAATAGGTGGCAACCTTCTTTATAAAGTTTTCAACACAAGCCTTGTTAAAACTATTATGTTTGCTAGTGTTCTTTTAATAGTTTTCACTATTATATTTTCTACTTATTAAGTTTTTTATTTAAAATTTTGAAACAGTTGGCAACATTCTTCGAAATATATTTTTAACATTAAGCCTTTTTGAATCTTTTAGTACCCACATACAAATTATAATTATTATTATTCTTCATATAATTAATAATTGGATTTAAAATTTTCGAACAAGTGGTAACCTTCTTTTTAAATTCTTCTTAAAACTATTTAGTTTGATACTCATATTCAAGGCATTCAATTTATCAATAGTTTTACCTAAAACTTACCCAATCGTCTGAATTTTATAACGAACTATCCGGTACAAAAAAATTTCCAGCTAGAATTATCTAGAAATAAGGGTTAGTTTACATAGATATAGAGCGTCCAAAGTTGAGTGCATTATGTACATGATTGTGGTAGCGTGAAAGTCAAGATTTCTGCTAAAGCTAAGGACAATTATTGTATATGATCATGAAGTCCGCTCCAGTAAGAGCTGCTTTCAGGTGTGTCCTTATATTTAAAGTTCAGCTGAATTTTTAAGAGAGGACTTTGAAATGTTAAACCTTTAATCCCGAAACATTATAGCCACCAGAGAGATCTGGGTTTATTAAAAGGCGCTTGAAAATGTTCTTAAGCATCATGCTACCCTATACGATTCTAGCATCCCCCGTCTTATTTGAAAATTGTTAATATTTTTTAAACACTTTTAGTTTATTTATAAAGCTTTATCCATTACATTGCCTCATTCTACCAAAGCTTATGCGCCTTCATATATTCCTCTATATATGGCGGAAATTCCACTGTTGAATTGTAAAATTTTATGCAAACATTTTCTTCATAAAATACAGTTTCATCCTCAACAACAATCTTGCCTTCAAAACACCATTCAGCCGTACCGTTATTATCAGGAGTTACTGTGAAAGTTGTGCTCTTAAAACAAATTTCAGCAACATTACAAACAGCAACACAATATTCCGTCTCATCAAGCTGCTTTACGGGCTCATAGGCGATAAGATCCATTTTGCTACCGCTGTCGAAATAAAGCTTGTAGTGTAAGTTCTTGCCCTTCTTTATGCCACAGGCGTAAACTTTGTAAAAAGAATAAAGAAAAAAGAGTAATGATTGTACAGTAGAAATATGCTATTTCAACTTACGCACATAGTCCACGGATCTCATCATTTTACTAAAGTCGATAGAACAGCATTTCTCTGCCATGCAGTGCCAAGCCTGTTCTTTCTTAGACTCGATTAGTAATACGAAGCTTAGAGCAAGGAACAGCGCGTTTATGAAAAAACGCAAGTGTTTAGAGTGGCATAATAACATTTCTAGAATGTTTAAGTGAAAAAGTAACATAAATAAATAATACACACTGCTTTTGGCGTGTAAAGTACCAAGAGAAAAAGCTTGATAAGAAGCATAATAATTTCAATTAGTGGCAACTTTGTTCCGGCACTTATATTTAAATATAAAAATTATTGAATTTTAGAAATACTTACAATTATATATTTGTAGTTGGGGGTGTGATGTTTGATTATATCTCGTAATAAAAACCATATTTAATAAGGTGTGTTGATATTTTAAAAGTGTCAAAATATAAAATTTGCCAGTAACTTAACACCTTCTTATTCTTTATTGCTTAAGACACCGTTTACGCAGTTATAACCGAGCTTACAATAGCCTGCCATTCGTTCTTCCTTTTCGCTGTTTGCTCACATTGTTTTTCCAACGGAGTGGAGGTCTTCACCTTTCTTTGCTTATCCCCGCTCAGAACTATTGTTCGTTGAACAATGCCAATGCCATCGCATGTTTCGTACAGCTCATCGTTCCATCGACTGCGGTATTCGTTGTTGCCAATGCTCACAGGTCCATAAGTCTTTGTAACTCCGACTCATCAAATGTTGTCATCGTCCATGCCCCTACACAATATAGCCGGACGGGGATAATGAGTGACTTGTAGAATTTGGTCTTTGTTTTTGAGGACCTTACTTCTCAATTGTCTACTCAGTACGCAGTAGCATCTATTGGTAAGAGTTTTTCTGCGTTGGATTTCGAAGTTGTCGTTGTTATTAGCATTAACACCACTGTCAACAGTGTCGTGGAAGCCACTACCAAACCAAATTGCTTTGCTTCTTTGCCCAACCTGGAGAAAGTAGAACTAACGGCGCGGTTTTATGGCCAATGATACAGATGTCATCGACCTATCCCAGCAGTTGTATAGTTGAGAAGGCTTATCCCACGGTATTTGGCCCAGATTGTGAAGGTCTCTTTTTGTGAACACATTTAAATTCCAATCGTTGGATATGCTTTTCTATTTAAATAGCTTGGCGGTTCTTCAGTCGGATATTTACTTTCGAACTTTTTCATGGTCGGGCAATGGAACGTTTGCTGAATCGTCATCGATTGCGGAATCGGATTCACCATCTTCTAAGGTTATACTTTTCACTTCAGCAGGCTGGAGAAGTGTTTCCTCCATAATTTCAGTATGCTCTGGGCATCAGTCACTAGATCACCTCTGGCGGTTCTATTGAAGCTCAGACCTTGTTGATAGATTTGTTAACTTCTAAAGGCCATACTTTCTTAATCTGGTATGTTTTCTTGATCACTGGATCAACTACTGAGAGGTTTTCAGGACTTGCTCTCATGTATCATTTGAGTTCACATTGGGCATATTGAACACAAATACACATAAAGCTGTTGAGAATAATAAATTTGTATGTAAACGAACGAAATAATAAAAAAATTGGACAATTTATTTTTTTTTTTTTGCATAACTTATTTTTATGCCTTGATCGCCAATCCGCTCTGGGTTTAGGCAAAGAACATAGTGGATCGTTGAGCAAATGTCGCTCAGGCAATCATTTACAAGAATAAATTGATACTTTTCGGTAGTAAAATTGAACTAAAAAATTACACAGTTGGTCTGGTAAATACATATATATACACATATATGTATACATATACATATGTCTATCAAAATTTACTACAGATTCGAATGGATGAGCAAATGCAAATTAGTTAAGTGGTTAAATAGTGTGATATTTTTTATGGAGAGTAAAATAATTATACTTATTATAGTGGGGACCAATATATACCTACAAAGAAAGAGAGTGGAAATAGAAAAAACAGAGAATAAAATAATAGCAAATGAGAGGAGACGGTAGCAGAAAAGGGCGAGAAAGTTTCAGGAAAGAAAGCTTGAGAGATAGAGGAAACGAGTTATTGAGAGCGCAATATAATATTCCTTTCTTTTTTAAGAGATCCGTTACAATATAAAGGCGTAATAATTTTTAAGTTAATTTTTATATTTTTTTTTTCTAAAATAACACCTCTCTTGTAGAAAAAATATCTTATGCAAAGACTTCTACAAATCATATACTCTCCGAAACGTCAAAAATACCTTATGTACTGACCACATTCACCAAATATTTGAACTTGAAAGGAAATTCACCACGTTGCTTGGTATATCAACGACATCCTCGTGGAACGTGAAACAAATATTATCTTCGCTATATAAAGTCTCGTTATTCACATCAACATTTCCCTGGAAACACCAAATGGCGGAACCGCCCATATCCTCGGATACTTTGAATGTGTTCGATTTGATGCAAACCAAGATTTTCTCGCAAATTTCACCACAGTATTGTGTCTCGTCCAACGCCTGATATGGATGATAGGCAATGTAGTCCATCTCTTCACCGGTATCCAAAAACAAGCTATACGTCCACTCATTATCGACCTTTTGACCACACGCATACACTGCGTTTACAGAAAAAAATAAAAATAAAAAAAAAATGATTTTTTTTTAAGGTTAATTTCGGTAGTAATTGCGTTGTACTTACATAAGAAATCCACTGTCACCACCATTTTACTAAAGTCAATAGAACAACATCGTTCCTCTAAGCAATTCCAAGCTTCCTCTTGTCCACCTTCACATATAATTATATGAAGTGCGAAAATTAATGCGCAAATATTGACGAGTACACGACGAGTGACGAACATTTTCTCCAATGCATGAATTCGAATAGGCGAAAAATGGCAAGAAATCGCCACTTTAACATTTTTATACCGTAAAATTTGGCTTAATAATATTAATGGGTCATGCCTGAAGCACATTTTGTTCCATTAAATTGCTCATGTTTTATGAAAGTTAATTTTATTGATATGGTTAGTAAATTACGGAATGTATGCGGGTGATTAAAGTTCTTGACTTTTGCCAAATGGAACGAGGGTTCGAAATCCCGCTGAACAAAAGTAGAGAAGAAAATTTTTTAATAGTGACGGCCTTTGGATAAATTAATTCAAATCTTGAAATCATAAAAAGTTTTATAAATTCCAGGAACATAACACAATTTTGGTTTATGCCTACATTAACAGGAACTGAGAACACGAAGCTCGGCCTATTATTAAGCTAAGGTGTATGATACATTTTTGTAAACATTCATATACGAGTACCTCTAAATTACAGTGAAAGCTCCTTTATGCTGACGCTGCATATTGGCGTTGGAACAGGCATAATTTTTGCTGTTTATTAAGCGAAATGTATTAAGGGACAAACCAAATTAAAGATCAAAATATATAAAGAAAGGTTGGTCCTGCCAGTGTCGACTTAATTGAATTAATTGTATATAAGTTTTCTATCAAGAGTCGGTACATTATGTTCAACAAAAGTCCAGGCGAACTTTAATTCAAGCTAAGCGGGTGTCAAAGCAAAAACGTCTTTACTGGTAATACGTTCTCAAAAGGAAGTCCGTTTAAAGTGCTGACGCTGTATCTTTAATAGTCCTCAATTGGAGTTATATCTTCGGCATTGGCGATTCCGCTATAGAACTCACGTACGAGTCTCAATATAATTACATGCGGCCAGACTCAATTTAACCTGCTCTATTAAATGAAATATAGTCGACTGCCTTTGAAACCGTTATTACCTCGTTTTGGGTTTTTTAAGAAGCGGCAGAAAATATTTCTAAAGTAATTTTGATTAATAATGCCGAGTTGATACTCCTTGGCCGGATTAAAATCCAAGTCCGCTTATTTGTAGACCCGACTGTCGTGTGAACGTGGGTTGTAATTCATACAATTCGGCTCAAGACATGTAATTACGACCATACTGAGACTCAAATGAACTATCGCAATCGGTCATTCCGCTAAGATCCAATGAAACTGGCTCAAGACGACTACACTCGGACTCAATTTAACTTGGCCTGTTGAATAAAATGGAGTCCACTTTCTTTGAAACCGTTATATTTTCGTTTTTTCAGTACCGATTTGAGACCTCTAGGCTGGATAAAAACCTGGGTCTGTTCCGGTTGTTTAGATAGGACTGTCGTGTAAACGTGGGTTATAACTGCGTTATAGGATTCAGTCATTCCGCTGTCATTTAACTGTTCTATTGAATGAAATGCAGACCAATTTCTTCAGACCGGTTTTCTGCCATTGACACATATCAGCGAATTAAGGGATATCGGCTACACTGTCTAGGTCATGGATGACCTCGGAGAGTATTCTACTCAGCACCCGCTGGTAAATAATTGTTTTTGAGGTGACGTCACTTAAGCGTAGTTAATTTGTAGAGACGAATTCGGTGAACTCAATTTTCGAGTACTTTTTCCACTAATAAATTGGTCATGAATAGTATTTCGGAACTGACTTCTAAAGATAGCTTATAGAGAGTGTGGTTTATTGCTAAAGACCAATGACTTCAAATAAGCCCACAGGCAGTAGTTTGATGATGTTAAATCGTAACTTGTTTGAGACTATTCAATGTCAAAATTTCTTGAAATAATCGAATTTCCAAAACTTTCAAGCAATAATTCATTTGTTGCACGTGCTGTGTGGCATGTAGCCTCATCTGTTTGGAACCAAATGCCGTCAAGATGAAGTTCTTCGAATTGCGGTCGTAAAAGGTTAGTTATTATCGATCTATTCCACTCTCCATTGACCCAAACGAAGTCAGCAGCTTCATTTCGAAAGAAGTACGGACCGATGATTTCACCAGTCCAAAAATCACACTAAAGTGTCAACTTGGGTGAATGTATTGGTTGTTCATGAATATATTGTAGATTTTCTTCGTACTAGAATCAATATATTTGTTTATTAACCACACCACTCAACTGAACGTGAGCCTAATCGGAGAGGATAATTTTTTTTTTTAATTGTTATCTTTTTCGAGTTGTTCCAAGGGAAAATTCTTTTACGGTGGTCTAATGGCTTTAGTTCTTGAATGAGAACAATTTGATATGTAGGTAAGCCAAAATCATTTTATAAATTCCGCCAGGTTGAAGTTTGAGACAGTCCAAATTCTTGAGACCGGCATAGACAAATTGCGGTCTTTGTCTTAAGAACACTTGCCTCTACGTCAGCAGTATTTTTATTACTTTGAACGTTTTTTGTCCTGGTCAAAGTGGTCGAAACGACACTTAAAAATCATACCATCGCTATTGGCAAACCCGTTACAAATTGTTCTGGAATTTTTCTTTCAAATACAGGAAATTTGCTTTTGTATAATTCCATAAAGGATATTGTGCGAATGCAAGCATACATTTTAATATTCTTTTGATGTCTGAGCAAATGCTACTATTTGCATATTTATACATAGTTTTCTATATATGTATATATATATATATACATTATATACATATAAGAATAAAGTCTCTGTATTATTCTATAACAAAGCCTGCTTGTAGTCAAACGCTTCATAATAAGCCGCGGTGCGTGCTGCTCAGCTAAAGAGCGCTGTGGAGCCAACTGGCATGTTATGCAATTAAATGTATATATTTATATATTATAAATATATTTTTATGTCTTTTTCAACACATTCAAACATGGAAACGTTTCTGGAATAATAATAAAAATAGTTACTTTTTCTATGGCTTTATTTTATTTCGTTTTCTTCATTTAAACGTTATTGAATGTATATGCGGACTCGCGTGTACGTGTTGCACTTCGGCTTTGTGCAACGTAGTTGGATAATTGGCTGTTTGACTGGAGTGGAAGCAACAGCAGTGGCTGCTAGGTGGCAAGGCAGACACTATGGTGCAATGAAGATGTTTTGTTTAAAGATCATGGAGGAAATTTAAGATAAGAAATATTCGTTTTTTTTTTTAGAGTACTAACAAATTTTGAATGCTGGAAGCATTTTTTTCATAGATTTATGCTACTTTTTTATATTCTTGCGAAGTTTGCTTTTCATATGACTGTCAATTTGTCAGCGGTTTATTTACGAGGCGATTTTTTACCACGAAAATATATTTGAAGAACGAGAATTCTTAAAATGTTGTGCTTATAATGGATTTACGACTGGGGATATCAAATAGTCTCAATATTTCTTATTAATTGGGCTTGGTTAAAGTTTCGGGCATGAATCGGTCAATGCTATAAAGTAAAGAAATTTGGCTACGGAATCTTTGAACACGTTGATGAAGTGTTTTTGTAAGTATAATTTGTCAGCGAGGCAAATATGTTAGCAATATGTGGCACAAAGCATTCAGTAAAGGCAGTGAGGCCATAGAAAATTTGATTTTGTGCATCGTTTATACATCTCTGGTAATAAAAATCATCGAGCTGGTATCAGAGAGATAGCAGAGAATCTCAAAATTTCTTTTACATGGACTCCACACATTTTGGTTAAAGTTTCGGGTATGAATTGGGCTAATGCTAGACTCGTATCTAAATACTTGAAACTTATTTATAATCACCTCAAATTTTTCTTCCCAGGTTGCTACTGCTTTGAAGGCGCACTACTGTGTGGGTAGTGCAAATCAAAAATACTAGATGCACTCACAATTCTCTATTGCAGTAATTGAAATTCTAAGCGTACCATATAACTGTATCATTTTGTTGCAAATGGGCGTACCTATTGCTCACTGGTTCATTGCGTCATCGCTTTGGTGTGATGCAAATGTCGACGAGCGCGTTTACATATTTAGAACATTCAAAGAAAGCAAGAGCTTAAAGAGTTTGTATTTAAGAAGTTTTGATTTGATAAAGTGATGCAGTTTAAAAATGGGTATACTATATATTCAACCACGGCATATTATAGCATAGATATATATTATATAAAGAGTATGTACATGCAGGTGACAGATTTTCGCTTTCTCGCCTCGCCATTTTAAGCAGCTCGCTTGCCAGCTGGCGACTTGTAATAATGTGTCATGCTTAATTTAAAGCTTGATTGTTCGTAATTAAATGGTTTTGTTGTTTTTGTTGTACGTAATAACTGCATTAAACGTGTCTTAAACAGGTTTGAGGAGAGCCGCTGATGTGACAACATTCGTGGGGTTTCATATTACTTTGCTATAGAACAGGGTGATTCATGGGTTTTAAAACAATATTTTCTCAATACTTCAGTGTTCAAGCAATTCCTTAGAGCTAATGAAATTTATTATTTTTCTGTGAAATAATTAGTACGATTTCTTAAAATGAAAAAATAAAAGTTTTGTAATGTTTGCAATTTAGCGTTGCCAGATGTTACCAACAAAATAATTTTTTGACCTTAAAATTGCTGTTTACAGTTTTAACAGCGTCATAAAAAAAACAAATTATTTACACAATTGTTTCATTTTAGAGTTGCCAACTATCAACGTAATTCGATTTTAGATATTTTAAGTCATTGTCAGATATTTATTTAAAAAAAAATCTGTAAAGCAATATGTCAGAAATACTCAGTAAAACAGTTTAAAATGAAAAATTTATAATTTTGATATTTATGCTTTGGGTTGTAGTTGCCACTCAGCTAAATTATTTTAATTAAAAAAATAAAAATTGCAGTATTTTTCATAATATTGTGAATATATACTTATACATATATATATTTCCTAAGAAATATTGCAAATATTCTTTGTTTTTTAGTTTTAAGGAGCAACGAAAATTTTTGCGTTGGCGTTGCCACTGAATTATAAATTTATAAATCTTTCATATAAATACATATTTTGTATACATTTTTAATATAAAATGGAATTGTATTACGAAATAATAAAATTTTGTTTTGAAAATCTATGTGGCTGCTTAAAAAGGGCAG